TTCTAGACGATGCTAGAGCCAAAATAGTGAAAAACCGGGCTGAAAAAATGACGAATGATTTTTCACGATTTTTACCGTATTTTGACTATAAAATAGGTAAAAATTAACGTATAGGGAAAACGTTTTTTACAAAAATGTTCATCGTGGCAAGCTCTACAAAACCAAGTATGAAAGAAAAAAATTCAAGACTTTTGTGTTTTTGTGGTTGAGTACCCATGGAAGGACCCTAGATCAATTTGTGCCACCTTGTGGACACGAAAAAATTAATATCTTCCACAGTCGAGGGTTAAGTGAGTCGGTACGGCGAGCGCTACTTGTTTGATATACGTGATCTTCAGTTGGAATAAGTAGCATATGGCTTTGTCATGACTATTGATCTTAATGAACATCAACCAAGGCACCTAGTCACTCAAGATTTAATCACTCGACTAATTGATGTGTTCGAGGTCTTGGTTAGTTAATATTTACAGTTTACTGCCTTCAAACATAATCAAATTTATTTATGAGTTCATATAAAAAAATAGGTTTGTTTTTTCTTGATATAAGCTCACGAGAATATTTCGAAATGTGCATACGAAGGATTTCAAAACATTATCGGGCTAGTTACAAGATGACATAAGTGGATTAGTAAACCGGTGGTTCCGTGAGCCGGTGAATCGGTGGACTGCTGAACCGGTGAGATAGGTGGCCGCCGTCACTGTTGCATGCCTACTTTCGAACACGATTACACGGCGTCATCAGACCATCACATCCTCTCACCCCACACCCAACTTCAATCGCAACAACGTTCGAGCGGTGGACCAGTTTGTCGATCGCTTTTTCGAAGGTTAATTGAAGAGAAATGATGAAAAGAAACGAATGCATTTTTCGATTCTTCTCTTGTGAGCACGTTGAAACTTGAATATTGTTTTTCTTACGCCAAAAGAAAACAAGGGATTCATACTCGAACAGTTGGAAGTGGGAATTTTCCAAGTGAGCCACTCACCTTTTATGAAAAGTCATTCGATTAGAAATGGAAACTTGTCAATTCACGTACAATCGTCGAGTCACATATTTGCCACTCACGACGCTTGGGATTGAACGACCATGGGAAGATATGCGAAAAGAGTTCGGTTATAAGGGCAATGGTGTACCTGGTGCAACGTACTACAAGACAATCAGTAAAGATGGGCCTGAAGGGTTTGCCGTCGTCAATGAGAACATTGTCTACTATTATGAATACGATGATTGGCATCGGTACAATACTGCCCGAGATATTCGATATGGCACGATTGATTTAACCGATGCAAATCCTACACGAGCAAAGACAGACGAAGAAGACAAAGACTATTTCGATCGAGTCCATACAGCTTAGCAAGACATAAGCCATGAACCGATGTTTGACATGAACTATCCTGAAAACTTGTTTTTATTAATCGAGAAAAAAACTTACATCGAAATAGAAGTTTGACCTCCTAACTAGTGATCTGATACTTTCCGGACAAAAGCGAAATGCTGGTATCTTCATCATGTTGAGCTTTTGTTTTCTAATGTTTCCATCAAAAATATAATCACACTAGATGAATATACGTAAGTGTACATTCACAAAATAGAGAAAGGCCCTTTAATTATCATCGGAAAAGTTTGCTTTGGGAAAGCTGTACGCCCATTCGCGATCGTCATAGAAGAAACAATCGAACAATCATCGAGTTTCTAGTTGCCTAACAAATGACTTGGACAGCTCTATTTTTTATTTTCACCGAATTTCCGATTATTTGAATCACTACAATAGATCAGACATACCAATTATTCAAGGAGTAAAAAGCGCTACTCCATCTTTACTCCACTCTACTCCAGCCTTACTCCAAAACTTTTTGGAGCATTAAAGTAGTGTTTTTTCTTCCTAACAATTATCTCGATGGGTTATCGTGTTGTTTGATGAAAAAAAATCAAACAAGCTGAAGACCCACAAAGCCATATGTGAGCAACTAGACATGATTTCAAGAATGAAAATTTTCTTTTTCCTTTCACATGTACAGCAGAAGTGCATGGAGAGTATCCGTTTTTGACTCCCTAGGGCGCGTTTCGTAATTTTTCTTCGCCCAGCTCGCAAAATTCTCGGAGCACAGAAAATATGAGGGTGAGAATAAGAGTTTTCCTGTTAGGCTGATAGAGCAGCAAACATCAGACCTATGTTACTTGTTTCTCTTCGTTATGTACATACATGAAACGAACGTTTTTTTAAAACCCTAACAAATGAGTCTTACTGCTTCTTCTTTTCACAAGGTGCCGTGTACCGGAAGCAGTTCTTTCATTTCTATGAACTTTAGTCGATGGTAGTCAGATTTAGCAGAACTTCTGGAAACCACATCGGTATCGAGTCTCCTAGTGATGATGTAACGTCGATGGCTAATGAATTCAAAAGCAAGGAAAAAATGGAGTATGTCAAAGTCATTGGTTTGATGTCGTCCGAATATCGATGTACGGAGGAAGCTAAGACATTAATCGAGCAGATCGAAACTGTTGTCAACTGCACAAAAGTGTACGAAAATCTTGATGAGTGTGAAAAAAATATTCGTGGAACGCACGGTCAATTCCAATCTGCATGGGTGTTTCTCATTGTCACACATGAATATATCGAGTCTATTCTTCAGCGAGGCCTCCATGATGTTCGAGCTATACATGCGATCTTCATACTCATAAAAGACGTTTCTTTTAGTGCCCATACTGCGGATCACGATAAGGTCAGACTTCAAACATGTGTTTGATAAATATTGTTTCGTCTATAATCGAAAATCTAGGTCAAAGGAATATTTTCGAATGAAACTGATCTGCTCAAACAATTGTTTCGGAGTATTAGTTGGTTTTCAAATGCATATCGCATAGTGAGCTCAACACTTGCCGGAGATGGAATGGACATGACAACAAATATTGTGAACAATATCGCTGATTATTCAGAGTTGTGGTTCCCTTTATTCATTGATTTTCTTCTCGATTTAGTAAATCAATTCATTCTAATGATTTCGAACCGACTCTTCTACATCTTTTAGCCTTTATCAAAAAATGCCAAGAAGCGAAAACGATATCAACTACATTTTGTCAATCAGTGTCGACGTTTCTATGCAGGTAATGAGCAAACGCTGCATAAAATCGACCAGTTTCTGGCACCAAAGACGGGTTATTCGTCCAAAAAGGCGCTGCGGTTTTATACCCATTCGCAATTTCTGTACGAACGAGTGAACAGAGCCTTACGTCAAAAAAATATTCTAGGCATCTTGGATTTTCGATTTTTTCTCATTGATATGCGAAAACAATTACAGAGAGCCTATAGTAAGTTCAGTACACATCATGGCATCGGCAAGACGATGACATTGTATCGTGGACAACGAATGTCCTCCTTGGAATTCGCTAGACTCCAAGAGAAACGTCGTAGTGGTTCATTAGTGACCGTCAACAGTTATCTATCCACTAGCATGGAGAAAGACGTTGCGATTCTCTTTGCCACAGGCCTTGCTACGAGTCAAATAATTCCGGTCCTTTTTGAAATACAAGCCGAATTGAAAGACTCTCGAATCGTTCGGCGAAAACCGTTCGCATTGATATGTTCCTATAGTCAGTTTCCGGAAGAAAAAGAAGTATTATTCTCTATCGGCTCGTTTTTTCGTATTCACGACGTCCATTATGACGAGACACACAAACTGTATATTGTACGTATGACATTTATCTACGATGAAGAGAGTTCCATAATTACCAATGATTACACCGAATTATGTACGTGCTCACTTGAAGAGAAACTCATCAAAACCGGTAACCTTCTTTCTAATTATGAGGACAAACAAACGTCCATGAAAACCCGAACTTTCTATGAATATTTTCTCTACGGTCGCTATTCATTGTCTATTAAATCAGCTTGTTATATTGGTCTCGGTTGGTTGGCATTCAAACAGAATCAACCGGATGAAGCTATCGGCTACCAACAAAAAGCTCTAGAAATCACCGACACATTGCATCAAGGAGACTATCTGAAATCATTGGTCGCGACAAGTTATAATTCCATCGGAGCAGTATATCGGCAACAAAATCAGTATGACAAAGCATTGGACTCGTACAAGAAAGCTGACGCGAAAGGGCGGGGTGTTGTTCGCATCAACAAATACGAGGTTTACAACTCGTTCAACAATAGTGCGTCGATGAATATTGCTGTGCTAGAGATTCTGCGTGGATTTCCTGAACAAGCTTGGTCAACCTATAAGAAAATCGTTGCTCACGAACTGAATGGTTCGGAACGTTTTCGTGCAGCTGTCTACGTGAAAATTGTCGAAGCAGGCTTTTCCAATACGACCAATCCGCGTCTCATGAGCCCAACGAACGTCTGGGAAAGATTTCTTGAGTTAAGCTTCAATGAAATGTCAGCGAGCTATCGACGAAGTATCATTTCTGGGACGTTTTCGATTTGCTTTCGAATTAAAGACAGTCCGTGGATGTACGATAAAGTCGCTAAATATATGGAAAAATTGATTTCTGTGTGTCAAAAATTCGAGCGACTCACCGTCGATGAACATGTGATTGTACTTCAATGTCATTGTGAACTAGCTCAACTCTATCAACAACAACATCACTTCGCAAAGGCTATCGATCATGTTTCGAACGGTATCAAACTATGTCGTGAGCATGATTCCGAAGAACTAATGACCTTTTATCAGCTTCTTGGCGAGATTTCTCAACGACAACTTCAAGAATATCATGATTGTTTGAGGTCGGATGATATTTGTTCCTTGATATTAGATCCATCGAATGAATCGCATGTCATGCAAACGCACTCGACACAGCGAGCGAACAGATTCGAGTTTCGACCGAATGAGTTTGCATTTGGTCAATACAAGAAAAAGCTGAGTCCTGCTATTCTCAAAGAAACACAGTTCAGCCGTCGTATCACTTACTGTTCCTTGAAATTAGCTGCATTGTTACATGAAGACAAGAAAGTTCCTTGGCAACGTGTCAAGGATTTACTGGATCAAGCCTTATCTGTAACTCCCGATGATGTATCTGTCCAACTCATCCACAAACATAATATGTTGTATGTTAACAAGGACTTCGATACGCTGATTAGTCTCTATGAACAAGACATCGAAGATCGGTCAGGTCAAAGTTCGTGTATCGATGAAGATGCATTTTGTTATGTCGCTCATTTGTATAAGGAACAAGGCAATCAAAATCAAGAAGAACAGTGGTACAAGCGTGTGATGCAGCGCTTCGAAGAACATCAGTATGTTTGCCAACATACTCGAATGTGTTTTAGCAAAGCGGCTCTGTTTTATCAAAGCATCAACGATCGAAACGCGTTTGCGTTCGTCTACCAACGACTCGTTCATCATCTTCTTCACGACCATCACAAAACGCCTCTTCTTCAACGATTCATTGTCGCTACGATTGAAACTATCATATTACCGGTGACGATGGTTGACAGTAAGCCCAAGGATACTATTATCTGCGAGCATCTTGTAGAACTCGCCATGAAACAGCCCGACGATTTCCTTGGCATGCATGAAGAATTCGAACAGATTATTCATTTGTGTCGAAATCACGTGGATCGTCGAAAGATGGTGATATGTGCCTATTGCCGGTATTTGGAAGTTCTCTTCACATACACGCAACCGTCATCGATCGTCTACGTTCAACAAATTCGACCAAGTTTCGAAGCGGCAATCCGCGCCTACGAACGTACAGGGGATCTCTCCGCCGCTATTGAGACCTATCAAAGTTTCACTCGTCTTATGATAAAATATTCCCACAGCCGTGAACATATTATCGATTCGTTCAAAGAACTTGGTTTTACTTTTGAAAAGAAGCGTCGATTCGACGAAGCGATCGTTAGCTATGAAGCTTTGGACCGATTTCTACACGTATTTTGTCTCGATCATCCATGCTGGAACGATGCTGCTGTTAATCATATTCTTCAACGCTATCAGATACTCATCGATTCAGAAAACAAACTTGCTCCGCGCTTGTACAAGAAAATGATCGGTACGTTACTTTCGTACAAACAAAAAATCAATATCCATTATGATACCACCATTTATCTGAAAAATTTACAAGACTATTACTTGCAATTAGCAAAAGTCGAGCCGGACACTGCACCTGATACGTATTGTGATCTGCTCGAACTACTTCGTAAACATCGTCCCGAGAGAATTGAACAGCATATGAGTGAAATCGTTCATACACTACAAAGTCGTCCGCAAAAATTGCTCATACTGTTGCAGAAATTTTACATCGACTATACACCACTGATTCGAGAAGTCCACAAGCGATTACTAAATCGATCGCCCATGTTCGAACCGTTTTCGAAATGTCCGTGCGAGTTTATCAATGAAACAGTTTCTAGTTTCACGAAGAAAGCTAAACGACTTGCGCAATCATCGAAAGGTCAAGAAGCTGTCAAGAAACTTTTCCGTGATTGTATCATTTTTCTGTTAGAACTCAAATCGATCAGCGACGAGCGGTTCGCTACTTGTTATCTACAACTTGGCGATTCCGAACGTGCAGCTGCTGTGTTTGATCCGAACATTTATTGTGATCTGGCTAATCAATATTGCCCATCTGCAGTACGTCGATATTCGAAATTTATTTCTCCGTTGACATCGGATCGAACCGAACTTGAACGTCGCTCTCGGGAACATTTTCATCATGTGGACGATCAAGTTCAAGACCGCTCACTGAAAAATGTTATATGATATCTCCTCTTGCAACAGAACTTTTAGTATACTTAAGTACTATGAGTAACAAGCAGGAGTTGCGCCTCCTTTTGAGAGTTTCCACACTTAACATAACGACAGACAAATCATAGCTATACTTCAAGTATCAATTCAGATTTTTCTTGTCTGTCTCTCATGTCGCTTTTGCTTTTGCCAAATAGTAATTCAGAGAAAACAACTTCATCGGTATTTAATTTGACAGAAAAATCTCTTTTGCAACCTGTGCTGAAATTTCATCCTTGGGAATGATGACTGTGCTTTGACTACGTGTAGATTCATTTAGGTAGTAAGATTAATATAGAATCTCTCGGAATTCTACGTTCCAAAAACACTTATGAGTATTCCTTTTGTTCAGATGTTCAAGAGTTATTCATTTATTCGATGTCTAGTTGATGAAGGTCGAGTATGTGATGATTTTATACCAGAAGGTTCTTTTTATTGATGCGAAAATGTTGAACTGTTATTTTCCACATCAGATGATTTCTCATGGAATTTCTATAATACAAGATTTAGTTCTGTGCTTGTATTCCTACATGATTCGAGTTGACATTCGACATGTCCATGGCACCAATCTGGATATCAGTTGCAGTCTTATAGCAGTGCCATTGTTCATTTTCGTAATACAATACCATACGATTATTCACAACGGCAAATAGATCTGGGCCCTGTTTGCTGATTGTTTTATAGCATGTCGCACCTGAATAAGCAGATCCCCGGTAGTTGAACTCTTGCTTCAGATCTTCCCATGAGCGTTCGACACCAAGCGCCGTGATCGGCTGAAGAGTTGTTCGATGAAGGTACGAAAATCGGCACGTTTGCATTTTTTCCTGGTTACAAAAGTATTCGATGTTTGACGTATGTCAAGTTGGAAAAAGCCAAGTTGTCTGTCTAGCAGTCGAGACCTTTTTCTTTTCAGAATAAGGGCGATTTCGATCAAACATGTTGACGAAAAAGGTTTCTGTACATATAAGGTAATGATTGTTTGTATATATTTTTTCGATCGGGTCTCATTAAATAACATCAACAGGAAGACCAAAAAAGTCAACAACAAGCCTTAAGCATATTTTTTGTGTTTGCTTCTCATGAAGAATAGTTCTGTAAGACTACCGTTCACATGAGGTTCTAATGTATGATTCGTATAAATGCTACCGCGTATGAAAGTATGCTTGTGCGCACTCGAACACTTTCAGTAAATACATGTGCAGTAGAAAGTAGTTTTCCATGATATGATGTGAAATGTTTTTGAGTTCGGAAAGAAAAAAGCTCTCTTAGTTGGTACAAAATATGTCAGTTAATCATCGACACGCTTTATCTATCTGTATATATGTAGATAAAGAAGAATGGCTGTTTTTTGTGTACTCAAAAAGTGAGTATACTACTACAATCGGTCAGTGTGTCCGTCCGTCGGTTTGCACGATAACTTTCGATACAAGATTCAGATTGCGCTGAAATTTTCCACACAGAATCATTGCATTGATATCTCAGTCAAGTTCGAAGATGAGTCAGATCCGTTGTACTAATGCCGAGTTTCGTCGGAATTTGTTCAGATCCTTATATATAAGGTTGCATGATTGTGTGCCAGTTCACTACGCGTTCATGTCCTGCTCTAATTATTGAGGCTTAACTACCCATGTTTATTGCCTAGACCGAGAGCAATATGAAGAGGATGCTGACTAGCCACCAAGAGACCAGGCATGGATGACCTGGGTGGAGTCTGGGTGAAATTTCACGCACGTGGTTTTGTGATTGATAAAAACGGGAAATTTCTCGTCAAGCGTTCGTAGTTGTGAGAGACATGGAAAAAGTAGCGACAGGTCAGTGATGAGGCGTGGACGGGGTAATATGGGTGAAGTTTCATCCATATGATTTTTCGGTAGAAAGCAACGAGAAGCCTTCTAAACTGCTTTGGCAATTATAGGAAAACGTGGATATAGTATTGAGAAGCTAGCAAGGAGTGACTGAGAATGATGTCAATGAATGAAGTGGAATCTGAGCGAAATTCCACCCAAGAGGCTTCGTGAAATAAAACATACCCAACTTTTTGTGGAGCATTATTAGGTTTGGAAAAACGGGCCAGTCGATCGGTATGGAAGTACAGTGTGCTGCATAATTATAAGACCACTAGTTTTAGCGCTTAGGAGAATCAGATGAAGCTAATTCTTTGAAATTAGAGAGACTGTTAGGTCACTATCTAGCTGCTAGATTATCAGCATTATATTGCTTCTTTTTCATCTACTTTGAAATTTTCATAACTTTTCATGGTGCAAAAGTATAAGACCACAGTAAAAGAATTACAAAAAAGAAGAACAAAAATAGCAATCAATATTTAGTTTTTGCTCCATTTAACTCAATAACTTCAAATGATTTATCTGGCTTCGAATTGACTAAACCCCGAAGCTGATCAATACTTATTTCTTCCCATGATTTTAATATAGCAGTTTTTAACTGGTCTTCGGTTAAATTGTTTCCCTTCGGCAAAAACCGTTCTTGCTAATATTCCCATAAATTTTCGATTGGGTTTAAGTAAGGGGATAATGATGGCCAGGGCAAAACATTGATTTTCTTAGACTTGAACCAAGTAACATTGACCTTCGCCCGATGAAGAGGAGCATTATCTTGCTGAAAAATCCAATCAGATCCACCAATACTGGCACCAATGTCTACTAGATGATTCTTTAGCACCTCGTGATACCCCTTTGAGTCCATCCGCCCATCTACAAAACGTATTGAGCTTTTACCACCCCTGCCAAAACGTGCCCACGTCATAACACTTCCACCACTTTTAGCCCAAGTTGAAAAAATTCTTCCTCCTTACGCAGATCATGCCAGTAGTAAGAAAAGTCATCAGGACCATCCAAATTAAATTTCTTCTCGTCCTACCACACAACTTTACGCCATTCTTTATTCCAGGTGGTATGATCTTTAGCCCATTGTAATCGTAATTCTTTGTATGACTTTGTTAAAAGTGGAGAACGTTTCTTTTTCTTTTTTTTTCAAGATTTTTTACTTTTTGAAAATCCGATTTATTATCCATCTTGACAGTTTCAAATTTAAATCGTGAATAATATCGGCAAATATATTGACTTGTTACTAGCAGCTCTTAAAATATGCCGTTTGGTGCGTTCATCGACTTTTCTTCTACGACCAGTTTGTTTTCTTGATCCATATTTAAGTGGATCTTTCAAAAGATTTGTTACCACGGTTTTGGATCGATTGATTTTCTTTGCGATTTCTCGATGTGGATTGTTTTGCTTGTACAATTCTAGAATATGTTTTTTCTCGTCTTCAGTCAATTGGATTGCTTTCGGCATATCTTTACTTGTATCTAAGTGTCAATTTAGTGTGTTAGTTTACGAAAATGTCGCGGAGAAAAAAGTGTTAACGGCAAACATGCCATGTGGTCTTATATTTATGCACCAGAGAAATAGAGAAATTTCTATATATACAGGAAAGTCAAAGGATATGCGCTCGAAAATTTTATATGTATATTCTTGTCCTTTACTTGTACTGACTGACTGACTAAATATCATATTCATTTGATTTATCTTATTGATAAAACAATTGGTCTTACAATTATGCCCCACACTGTAGAATGGCAGAAAATAGTACTCGATGCTATTGAAACTCGCCGATTACATATGATTAAACGTGCAAACTATGTGAAACAATATCGACCGGCACATCAATCCAAGAGCGATGATAAACCACAACATCGGTAGACTTCAGTGAATTATTTGCAAAAATAAAAGAGATAGTGAATTATTACATCTCACGGCTTTCTTATACGTATAACCCTCATTTCCGAATTTTTTCTTGAAATATTTTACTTTTTTTGTTTTTCACTTCCATAACATACAGCTGCATGCGAGAAAGCTTGCACATCTTGTCATGCAAATAAATTCCTATCAATATGCGTCTTTCAGGGTACTTTTGTATACGTGTAACAGCGCATAGAAATTATTGCACACAGTATATTTGAATATTTTATTTTTTTCAATTTCAGAAAAAAATACAAGTCAAACATCTATTATCCAGGAGCTCCACATAATTCACTATCACATCAGTACTGACGTCTTGTAGTTTTCCAGCTTCAGAAGTCAAAACTCATCGTCAATATGTTTAGGCCTTATTTCAATTACTCCGGCACGAACTTAATCTGTAACTATTGATGGGACCACATCTAAAACCATTGGGTTGGTAAGAAAGTTCTTGCGTTTTTTTGGAAATGGTCATAGAATCTTCTAGAAAGTTCTCAAAGCTTTGATACTAAGGATGTATATAGGGAGCATGAATGACGTTCGAACGAAAATATTTCGATTGGGTCACAAAGCAACTGAAGCAGCGAATAATATATGCAGTACGATGGGTCCCGGTATCCTGTCCATCCGCACGGCACAACATTGGTTTGATCGATTTCATAATGGGAATTACGAACTTGATGATCAACTCAGGTGCGGAAGACCTATCGAAGTCGATATCGATCTTTTGAAGCAGCAGATTGAACAAGATCCGCGATTGACGACACGTGCTTTAGCAGCTGTGCTCGGGTGCTCCCATAGCACGGTAGAAAAACATTTGGCTGATCTTGGCAAGAGCTGGAAATATGGGGTATGGATTGCACATGAATTATCACCGTATCAGCTTCAGTCAAGGGTGGACACGTGTATAGATTTAACCACATCTCATTGTAATCATCAATGGCTGCGCAATCTTGTCACTGGAGATGGGAAGTGGGTGCTCTATGTTGACCATACACGCCGACGGCAATGGGTTAGCAGTGGTGAAACTGGGGTGGCAACACTTAGAATGGACATGCATCCCAAAAAAAGTGATTTTGAGTGTCTGGTGGGGCATGTGAGGAAGCATCTATTGGAAGCTTCTTCCTAATGGTTACACAATCACAGCTGATCTCTATTGTGAACGACTGGATCACGTTGTCCAAAAACTCAAAGGAAAACAAGATCGAATTTACTTCCTCCACGACAATGCGAGACCACATGTGGCAAAGTTGACTCGTGAACAATTATTGCAGCTCGGTTGGATTACCATACTCCACCCACCTTATCCGTCGGACTTGGCTCCCACTGACTATCATTTCTTTCGCTCTCTGCCCAACTGCTTGAGCGAGAAAAAGTTCGACGACGAGAACAAGCTAAAATCCGCCCTCGCAACTTTTTTCGATCGGAAGTCCCCGGACTTCTATAAGCAGGGGATCCTTTGTCTTCCAGATCGTTGGCGTCAAGTTATAGAAACAGATGGTGCATACATAAATGAGAACTAGTTCTTGCTGATAAAGAAAATAAAATGAAAATCTGAAAAACCACAAAAACTGTCTTACCAACCCAATAGTATGAACATTGCGTAAGAGCATTACGCAAAAACACGTCTTACGTCCGTGAAAATTGCATAGAAAGTTCTAGAAGGTACATGCAAATACTGAACAACGGATAGATACAGACGATAACATGGACAGACACGTGACCGCTTAGCCACTATATCACAAAAATAAAATTTTTCGCAAGTGTTGCAGAACTTTTTGGTCAACACAATAAACTAATTCAGAATCCCATATGGTCAAGTTTTTCTTCTCATAAAATATTGACTAAAACATTCAAATACTAAAACAAAACAACAATAGCTTTTTCCTTGAGAATTATGTGTAGTTTACTTGAATTTTTTAATCTCTCCAGATTCATAGTTTTCAATAGTTCGATTCTTATTAAAACACCGAATTTGATGTTGTTGTTTTGAGCCATTTGTAAGTCGTTGAATATAAATTCCAATTTCCTTTACGAAAGAAGGTCGTTTTCTATGTAACACATAACAATACAAATTTACATATTGATCCATTTGAGATGCATTTGAATTTTCAGATACATTTCTACGTTTTATCCATAAATGGTCTGTTGGTTTTTATNATCAGCGTAATCTGGCGGATCAGAATATGTGTAATAAAACTGAAAAAAAATATTTACTCGAATTTTGCATTACGTGCACCTTACTACATATTGTTTGTTATCGTAGATTTCATAGATAAAGTTCTATGCTCATTTAATTTCTCGGAATTAGTCCAGTATTTGAGGATGTGGGTGCAAGGGATGGATGACAGTGGCCAATTTGAGGGCGAGAGTGTTGTTGCGTCTATCAACGTTGGAATAGTTCAATAACTGGATTCAGTTTCCGAGTTTGACACTACTGGTAAACTTAGAAAGATTGTTAGTATGAAAAATAAATCATTTCTCTTTTCATAACTATAACAGCGTGCTAATGGTTCTCAAGTCGCAAAATAACTGGAATAATTGCTCGACATTTTCTATGTTTTAAATAAATAATTCATCAATCAATGTACCAATTGACACAGTTGACATCGGACTAAATCGAGTTCCTACTGATATATTAGGCTGGTAAGAAAGTTCTTGCGTTTTTTTTTGGAAATGGTCATAGAATCTTCTAGAAAGTTCTCGAAGCTTTGATACCAAGGATATATATAGGGAGCGTGAATGACGTTCGAACGAAAAAATTTCGATTTATAAGAATACACAGACGGGCGAAAATACCGATATCGATCTATTGAAGCAGCAGATCGAACAAGATCCGAGGCTGACGACACGTGCTTTAGCAGTGCTACTCGGGTGCTCCCATGTCACGGTAAAAAAACATTTGGCTGATCTTGGCAAGAGCTGGAGATATGGGGCATGGATTCCACGCGAATTATCACCATATCAGATTCAGTCAAGGATGGACACGTGTATGGATTTAATCAAATCTCATCGCAATCATCAATGCCTGCGCAATCTTGTCACTGGAGACGAGAAGTGGATGCTTTATGTTAAACATACGCGCCGACGGCAATGGCTTACCAGTGGTGAAATTGGAGTGGCAACACCCAGAATGGACATACATCCCAAAAAGGTGATGTTGAGTGTCTGGTGGGGCGTGCGAGGAATCATCCATTGGGAACTTCTTCCTAATGGTTACACAATCACAGCTAATCTCTATTGTGAACAATTGGATCGTGTTGTCCAAAAACTCAAAGAAAAACAAGATCGAATTTACTTCCTCCACGACAACGCGAGACCACATGTGGCAAAGTCGACTCGTGAAAAATTATTGCAGCTTGGTTGGATTACCATACCCCACCCACCCTATTCACCGGATTTAGCTCCCACTGACTATCATTTGTTTCGCTCTCTATCTAATTACCTGAGCGAGAAAAGGTTCGCCGACGAGAACGACCTAAAACCCGCTCTCGCAACTTTTTTCGATCAGAAGTCCCCGGACTTCTATGAACAGGGGATCCTTTGTTTACCAGATCGTTGGCGTCAAGTTATAGAAACAGATGGTGCATAAGGTGCAGGCAATGCAAAAATCGAGTGAAATTTATTTTGACTTTTTTTATATGGTTTGATAGAGCGTGAGCTGCTGATCACGATGAACTACTTTTTATTCTTTTTAGAGCCTATTTTGTAGTCAAAAATCGCAAAATCCTTGAAAAACCCGCGTTTTCCCAAAATTCAGGTTTTTCGACAAAGNATACATTTCTACGTTTTATCAACAAATGGTCTGTTGGTTTTATTCTAAATATAAAAACAAGTAAATTTTTTTCTTTTTTTAAATAATTCTACTTATTATTCCGGGGTAAATTTATATATTGATTGTATTTAGAGAACGCTTGCTGTGTTTTTTCAATTTCTTCTGTAGTAAATTCTGCTAATTCCAACGCACGGGGATAATTAGTTAAAAATGCTGATAAATTCATCTCGACCTTTCCTTGTGATGAATCATGATATTTTCGCATAAAATTTTCCGTTTTGTGTACTTCATTATTTCTCTGTTTTTTATTCATTAGTTGATGAACAAGACAAGATAATGACATATTGAACTCGATGGCAACCTTTTCAAAAATTTGTATAGTTTTCTCTCTATTTTTCTTGATTATTTCTGTTTTGGGGTATTTTTTAGGCGATATCGTAGTTGAACTCTTCATGTTCTCTGATGGTTTCCATAAACTTTGTAATGCAGATGTACGTGTGGAATGTAGAGGTTCTATACGTTCAATTAACATATATTTATTTATATCATTAATAACCATTGAGTATAAATCACTGAGAAAATATTGTTTTGTTTGTTGACGATAATTTTCTATGATATTTTGAGCAGCAAGTTCAAATGAAGACTGGAATTCTTTTTTAATTATCTGAATTCGTTCTGATTTTTTCGGCAGTGTATTTTCAATGGTAGTCAAAACTGTTTCATAAATCGTTTTTATCGTATTAAAACCTTCTTTTTTAGTCCAAATATCATTAACCATTTTCTCTGTTTCGTCAACGCATGTCTTTATTGTATCATCATTTTCTGATTTTTGAACATACCCAACACTGATTTGGAATAAGCGCGTAAAATTTTTTAGTAAATTTACGATTGATTGATTGGTATGAAACTTTGTTGTTGCCATCTGTTGCTATCGACTAGAAAAAACAAACTATGCCATTCAATAAAGAAAGAAAAGTGAGCTTCTTTTCATTGCACAAAATGCCACTTGAAGCAACAGTCGGAAACTATTTATTTTCTCTATTCAAAATTCTGAAGAAAAAAATGCAAGTTTTTTTAAACTTTTTTCTCAGAATGCAAACAGTAAGTAAAATTTTCCCAAAGGTATTTTCCCCTGATGTTATTATTCGAAAGAATTCGATTTCAAGTAAGGACATATATCGTGATCTTCGTGTATTACTGAACAACTTAAGAAATAAATCTTTGCTGTCAAATGAGTTAAATAAAAAATTGATATTACGGCTCAATCAATGTAATCCTTCAATGTATGGTAATGATAGATCGCTGATTAAACCTTACTATGATGATTTACTACAGTTAAATCAAAAACATAATTCTCTCAAGAGAGAAGATGAGGAGAAAATTCAACGTTTATCGAGAAATTTATTACAAACAATGGAACATCAGAATTATTCAATTGTCGAATTATTAATCAAATTAAAAATGATTTTTAGTGATCTATTAGAAGATCTTCGGACTATAGACGAAATCGATGAAGAATGCTTTTCAGAACCGGAAAGTGAACAGGAACAATTCTTACATGAACTTATAAATGCTCCATTAGATGATATCCGTATTTTTCTTGAAAAACGCGGGAAAGCTTTTGGAAATTATTATAGATCTGAAATTCTTGATGATCTTGCTTACTGTATTTCTAATAACATTTCAAATTCAAAAGATTTCTTAGATAAGCTTTGTGATTTTCTTCGAAACGAATTGGCTGAAAAATACAGTCCATTAACAGCAATAGATTTAATTACTTATTCACTAGAATTGTTGTTTTTCATAGTCAATCGAATTTGTTTTTATATTGAAAAGAAATAAAACAAGAGCTTTCGAGATATTGAATCTCATCTTCAGTTGATAATGGTG